AGCTGTGCTTTCCAAAGAGCACCCAGGTGGCCTTGGCATAAGCCAAGCTATGCCCTGGCTAAAGCAATAATGCACCTACATGGTACAAAAGAGGAGTGAAAAAGCCCTCCAACTGACAAAGACCTCCACTGCCTGCCTTCTTTTTAGTGGGTATGTAGCTTAGCAGCTAAAGCTTCCATGTCACTCTTCCTAAGCAAATAAAATCAAATCTCCCTGCCACATAACTACAGTGCAGAAGAATGTCAGGAAGGCTGGTGCAGCTGCGGGAAACATCAACAAATCTCAGCACTGCAAGGTGCACCACACAGCAATGAGAGGACAGCAGATTTCAGTAGATCTGGTGAAGACCATGGCTGGATTACAATCAATATAGCCCCTTCTTTCTTGTTCCTTTACTAATGCCCTGAGGTCTCTAATGAGGAGCACTTAAATAGCTGCAGACTGAGGCTGTCACCTAAGTGCTGTGCACTGTCACACAACACAAAGGCATTTTAGGAGCAGTTCATCTGAAATTCTTTTGCAAGAGAATGGGGGTTAAACACTAGGCAACACCTGGGTGATTTGTCACACTGGAGCATCTAACACAGGTCGGATGAAAACCTGATGTGTGGTGACTCTGTCCAGCAAGCAGCCAGTCTACATGCCTGACCACCTGGGAAGGGTTTGATGGATGGAAAACTTCAGAACCACGCTGGACTAACTCACATATAGATGTATTTTCCTTTGTCACATAAGACTTCTTACAGGAATGTGAATATAAAAAAGATGCAGTGTACTCCTGTCTCCGACAGTGTGAGACATTTCACACATCTAACATCCACCCGGCACGATAGAAAAGCATGAATCAGAGGCTCAGAGCTGCTCAATTCCAGAAATCTTTCTACACAGCAGCAATCTCCGGTAAAACAGCCTCACAGCTGCTCTAAAGTATTCCAGCTGGTGTCATGTCTTCCTAAGGAGCCATCTGCTAGCAAGAGTGCATCAATACCATACCGATATGCCAACAGTTTTCACCTTCTAGGCTAGAGATGCAAGTGGCATAGCACTTGCCATCCAGAAGCTGGCATTGTCCCTGGCTTAGAAGAACCACTCTCCTTCAGCAGCATGCTTTCCCAGTAGGTCCAGAAGAACTGCAGCAATTAATCCTTCAATACAAAGCCTTGCTGGGTCCATTTGTTGACAGTTGATCAGTTTGTGCTCATGAGCAACCTCCTGCACCATTCCAGCAATACCCCACTTATGCTCTCAGATAGGCAGCAAGTGAGATACGAAAGATGCTGGCGAAGCTACCAAAGACAAAATGATCTTTCCTGCCACACATCTCAGCTCACTTGTCCCTGCTGACAAGCCATGAAGAGATGAGAGCCACACTGGACCGCCTTGACATCACTGTGTGGGCTGAAGGAAGAATCTCCCAGCCTAAAAATGGTCATTGGAAAAGGCAGGAATGAAAAATCCCCTCCCACCCAGAATTTGGGGAGGCAGGGTCAAATACTACACATATCACCCATGCACGCAGAATTCTGGCATCCTTCTCTACACTGCTTCATACTGAAGTGATCTTTAAAAGGCAGTAAAGATCCTCACCCAGGGCAAGCTCTTAATATTTCTGTTTAAATGTATTGAAGAGAGAAATCAAACTCATCTTTTTCAAAAGATCCTGTTGACAGTACCTGTCGTTAAATGGCAGATATTCTGCCCTCCTGTTGTCAGCAGCTGGCATAGAAACTCTTGCAGCTCTGAACAGCATATACCCATGTACACAAGCTCACATCTTTTTGTCACCATGCAGAAATGTTTGATATGGAAATACAAGCCAAAGAAAGCTGCTCTCTCAGAAAGTGATACCCCATCATGAGAAACCATGTACCTCAACAGCAGGACTAGGGCACAGACCTCACTCTTTCAATGGGTGCAACCTACTGAACTGGCTCAGTACCAACCAGCCACACAGGGAGGATGCTCTCAGCATGGCAAAGGACCCACATACTGGCTGCAGCTACTCAAAGGATTTGCCCTTCTCCAAAGTGCTGGGTTAAGTTGGAAAAGATAATGTGGGTAAAAAGTAAACCAGCTATTTACTCTTTGAATCTCTTGCTGTGTAACTCTTGGGTACCTGGTGCTCCACTGAAGGAATGTCAGATTCTCCCATGCTGGCACAATAATACAGAGATTGTTTCTGAAGGTTAGGGAAGTTTATTTTTACAACTTTGCTCAGTGCCTACAAATCTTTCAGCCACACAGCATCTGGTTCAGGCACTGCCCTTTGAATGGCTTTTTTGTTGGTGCAGTAATTAAAGGTATCCCAGGTGACACCTGATCCCTTATCAAGTTCATTAATTTAAGTGGAGTTATTTGGCTCTCTATTTTCTATACTTCATAATGTATTTCTAACCTTTAAAGTGACACAGGCAAGCACCAGATTTCAGGAGCGCTTATTAACAGCCTATTAAAATATTTTATGGCCTTTATTTTTATGTTGCCATAGGGAATCAAGTATTTTGCTGTTGTTGAACTGGTTTGGGATTTATGTTGCAACAGCTTCACCACAGCCTAACGCAGAACAGTGCTAGGAAATGAACTGGGAGAACAAACTCCCATTCAGCTCCTCATGTGCCATAAAGCTGTCAAACGCAGATCACAGCAAGGGGCCCTCCAATCCACGTCTTCAGTTTTGCTTGTTTTTTAAATATAAGCTGACAAGACAAGACCCAGTGCTCTGGAACCATGCTGAGAGCCACCAAAGGCAATATTCTTGTAGAGAAACATACCTGGGTGTCTTTTTTTTACCAACCCTGTAAATCCACAGAGGTTAGCTCAGAAAGGATCTCTGTGGTTACCTCTAAAACATTACTTCTTGTTCTTTAGTCTATAGCTGCTGTACCACATCCACATTTTGCAACAGCATTAGCACAGAATTAGGAAGACCATGATCTTACCTAGAAGACCATGATCCCACCTAAAAAACTTCTGGAGATGATGAGCCCCCTCTGTTAAAACTCAAGTATATCTGATATTGAGAAAACAGGTACCTTTGATTTAGAAACTTAACTCTTTTCTGCTTAGATACATACACACTGCAAATCAGATCACTTCTGAAAATCCTGTTTTGATAAACTTAGTGGAGTGAGCCTCAGGATCCTCCTGAGTTTACATAATGCTTCTCTCTCTTTTTTAAAAAACACAAGAAGTTACTTCTAATGAAGAAACATATTTGGAAGAGTATCAGCAACATACTTAAGAGAACTTTAATTGCTTGTGTTTTCAAAATGTTTTAATGAAGTCAAATCATGAATAGACACTCCTCTGCCAAAGAGCCCATAAAATATTTTTCAATGACATGATAATTGACATAACTGGTTGTATAAATTCCTGGCATTTTAAACAAAGATACTACAGATTAGCACAAGCAAGAATACTCAGTAGGCAATTATTATCTCTGCTTTAATTATAAACGCTTTGGAGGTTTTTTTGTTGTTGTTTTGTTTTTTCCCAATTTTTAATTTAAATGTCATTCTGAAAGGTTTTCTAGACAGATTTTGTGTGGGTAACCTTAGAAAGACTGTCTCAGCAAGCAATTCCATATCACTAATGCATGACGAGTAGTCAGTCATATTGCAAGTCTCTAGTGCTATTAAATCTACCACTCCTTTAATGCCTCGACCAAGACTGTATGAAATGAATGAAAGACTACCATGCTGAGATTGGACCCGGACATCCAGGAGGGACTACTCCTCCAATTTCATCTTACAGCTAAATGACGGCAGGAGAAACAGTGACAAACCACAGAGCAGTCTGTCCCCAAACCAGGCAAGGACAAACACAGCAGATGAATACCCTGCAGGTCCCTGAGCTCACAAAATCACGGTCTTACTCAGCTTTGCCTGCATGCATGCAAGGTTGAGCCTAAGAAACAAAAACTTCACCCTGTAGACTGATGCCATGGCATGCCAGTGGCACTGCAAGTTTTGTTTCTTGGGGAAGTTTTCAAAGAGGGACTGACCTACTTTAAATCGAAGGGACATCCACAATTGCAGCTCAACATTATCAGTAATAACCTTGCTGAGAACCATCTTGCAATGCTACCATTCAGCAATTCCTAACAAGCTCCCCTCTCGCCTCTTCTCCAGCTCCTGCCACAGAAGAGAATGGATACCAGCATGCAGCAGTGTCACACAACACTGTGCTTGCTTAGGTGTGCAGTAAAGCGCTGACACCAACAATTTCCTCCTGAAGTTCATTAGATTGTTTTATTAATTAGCAGGCTCCCCATCTTATCACATACTGCACCTGAAATCCCACTTGTATTTCTGAATCAAGTAATTAAAGGCAGAGGTACTTGAATAAACAAGCAGTGACGGAGAATAATATTCCATCAGTGTAATGAGGCAGCTTGCTAGACAGTGAGATGCCCTGGCTCAGACATTATCTAAGTCCAAGGGTAAGCACACCTTGGATGGCGATTGTGTCCTCTGCTATCGGCACCCCCAGGTAAACCCCAGTAACTTGGATGAAACTAATCAGATTCCAGGGAGAATTTGGGTCATTAAATCTGTCAGTGGCCAAAACAAACAGAAAAGAAGAAAGGCTGCTGCACTCAGAGCATGGAGAAATAGTAATGATCAACAGTTTCAACACCTTCCCTGTAGAGACGGCAATAATTATGTGGTAATTATCAGGTGCAATTTCCTCTTATGTAAAGGGACTAGGTTACCTTCTTCAAGGATAGCAAACGTAACTTTGCTTCCTTCGTGCAAAATTGAATGGAAAATGCACTGACTGAACACTGACACGAGTTGAATCGCTTTAAAGACAGTCTTTCAACAATAGCCACTTGTTGGTATCCATTAGAAACCGTTCCGCAGTGCTGTAATCCAGTACCTTATTATCACTGCTGTCAGCAGAGTTGGTTCCCTTGCATGCCATCATAGAAGAAAAGGGGCATAAACAGCAAAGGAAGAAAGAAGCAGAGAGAAAGAAAAAAAAACACAACCACTTACTTGATATTGTCAAGACATCCAGATTCAGGTTTCAGTATGGCAGTATGATGAAACATTTTATAGAGAGCAATCCCAAGGAAGATTACATTAAGCTGCAAAAAGAGGGAGGGAAAAAAAAAAGGCAACATGACATGGCAGAACGTGATAGGGAGAAATCAGACTTTTCTTTGTAACAGTTTCAGTTTCTGTAACAGATGAGTTGCTCTAGAAAATTAGCTCTCACTACAGTTTTATACAGACTGAGTAACAGAAAATTGCCGAGTATTTTATAAGGTGAGCCAGCCTGAAGGATGTGGATCAGGGATGCCATAGCATTACAAAGCTGTGGAGCAATGTATGTTACTGATATAGGGCTGGTTCCAACATCAACTGTAGCGCTTCAAATGACGTTATGGAAAGTTAAAAGCAGTTCTCTAATGACTCATCTGTGTCTGAGATATTCACTTGTGAAAAGTCTCTCAAAGCTTCTTGCTTAGCCGGTCTCATTGATAGAAAACCAAAAAACAACTTCTTCTGTGAATTTACCTTTTAAATATGGTGTAGTGGTGGAGATGGGCAGGGAAATTATTCTTGTTGAAGAAGCTTAGCACAGTGCAAAGCAAAGCAAAAAGAGGCTGATGTATTCAGTAAAAGACATGATGGTGTTTCAACACTTCAGTGTTAGCAGGGTCACCAGTTCCTGGAAAGGAGCTCCCAAAAGCCCAAGCCAGGGTTTCAGACATAATGAAAAAGGGAAGATATCTTTTTGTGAATGCATTGTTTGAGAGGAAAAACAAACACAACAGATTTGGCTGGTAGTGCAGCTCCCTCCCTGGTGTGGAAGGCTGCTGAAATACTCCCCAGCAGCAGGAGAACCAGAGACAATGTCTGTATTGACGTGAGCGCCTGGTTTGCTGTGTTAGCCAAACTTCAGTCTATTCAAAACAAAGGATGGTTTATTGAAGCCATATTGTAGTGATTAAAGTATCAGAAAACTCCAGCTGTCTCTAAAGTTGTGTTCTGTACCTTGTTGCTGTGGTAGCTGACATGCTGGCAACATGCTAACTGTAAAGTCACAGGAATTTCAACTTCTGCAGGGGAGGAGACCCTACCCGTAAAACCTCTTTTCCAGTTTTGACTTTATTATATCCCCTTCACCTCAGATCTCCCTTTCTGCATGATCCACACAAAGGTTTGCTAGAGTTCCAAAGCAGGGATAGTAGGTGGCATCCATATATATACAATAGGTTGGTACTTCTGAGTATCTGACAGCACAAACCAAGCTGTCTGTGCACCTGCTCTGAGGCAGTGCCCAGAGTATGTACTACATGCCCTCCCCTCCCTGATTTGATCGAGTATTTCACCACATAAAGAGCCTCCTGTAACGAGCCTCTAATTGCTTGTGCCAGGTGGGGTCACAGAAGAACATGCCTTTCTCAAACTAATCTGTGTAAATTAAAGATACAGAGTAAAGGGACAGCAAAAGTTTTATTTCTTGACCTGAGAGATGGAGTAGTTAATTAGGAGTTCTTACCATAATTATCAAGGTCGCTGGTCCTATAAAGCTCCAAATGAAGTAGGTGTCAAGTCGGAGCCAACATCTGTAATGAAACACAGGGGAGAGAAGGCATTCAAGGACTGCACCCAGGACATACATCAAGAGTGAGCAAGTGACAGAGAAGAATGTGAGCTGCAAAACACGCCGGTGGGAGACAGGAAATATTACATTGCTTGTTCATTTAAATGCTGAATTATGTGCCCGATTTCTGACAGTGCTATTGATGGAATAAGATAATTACCTCTGGAGGAAGCAGGGGGAAAATGGCACAAGGCCTATCTACTAGGGCTTTCTGTGTCCATCGAAAAATACCTTAAAACATTTTATTTTAAGGAAGGGCTCCGATGAGTAGCTATGGAGCCTTTTTTTGCTTTAAACTCAGCTTTCCTCTCCAGCTCTGATGCAACACAAGCTGTCTGTCAACTGTCAAGTGAGATGACATTTTTCCATCAAGCTGATCAGAGCAAATTTGTTGAAACAGGAAGCATGATTTTGATAACAGAAGGCTGAGGTTTAATTAGGTTCAGCGACTTCCCCTTTAGAGCGTTTTATTTCCCTGATCCTCCAGAGTGTTTTGTTTCTACTAATGTTTCGAGCATTGCATACGGTCTGTGTGATCCCATGAAGTTGATTCATGGCCTAAAACTAAATTATTAATCGCTTAATTTCAACTGCGTTTAATACTCCCCCCATTTTTTTCAGGCCCCCGGGAAATTATATTTCCATTCCTAGTTCATTCCAGGCGACAGGAAGACAAAATGGAAGTGACTGGTTACAAGACAGATGAATATAAATTCTAAGAAAGTTTCACATGATGTTTAAAATAATAATATCTTGTCGTGTTTGCTACGCTGCAAATCACAGCTCCATTTATACACAGAGGACTAAGAAAGCGTAAAAACACTCTTATAGTAAATGTCCGATGAAATTTCATAATTAGATAAGTGACAGGAACTGTATATATGAATTTATCATGGCAGAAAAGATGGCAATTCTCTCAAATGACAGCTCTATGCACTCACTGAATTTTTCCCCTTCCAATGGAATTTAAATAGGCAGAAAGGTCTGTGCCAGAAGCCCCACAGCAGAGATCAGCACAGTCTTCTGCTGAGAGAATAAAACATGTCCTGAACCTCAGCGACCAAGAAAAGTCAAGATATGAATAAATTCAAGGCTGTAGATAAAGCTTCCTACTTCCCTCCCTGACTGTATAAATTTCAGGTCTCCACAGTCGCAAAGATGTACCGATATTTATGGTCATGCCAGTATTTATCACAAATTAAAATACAGGCACTTCTGTGACTGTCAGTCTTGAATAAGCTCTGCAGCTTTTTACCAAAAAACTCAATGAGACTGCATCAATCATAAACATGCAAGGCAAACTGAGAGATCTTCAGAGTGACTGCATGGAAATCTTGTTTCTTCTACATCAGCGGAAGTTCAAGGTGATTTAGACACAGCTCATGATGGAGCAACATGAGTGACTTCAAACTATTGAAGCCTGATTTCCTATAGGAAAGATTTTATGTGATCATGACATCTGTGTATCACTCATAATAACACCTGAAATGTCAGCCAATTGCAAGTAGATTTGACAGAGGAATAGAAGTACCTGTAAAGAGTCCCTTGCCATCAAAAAAGGTATCTGCATAGCAGCAGCTCACACATTCCAGGGCATTTATGTATTAATACTTACCCCATCCTACCCCAAAAAAAAAAAAAAAAGAAAGAAAAAAAAGTAACAGGTGCTTATGCCTCAGCTGCCTAACACAGATCAGGAGATAAGCAGCCCACAGTTTTTCCTCAATGATACGCATGCTGAGTAGACTGTGTGTGGCAGATGATTCTGAGGTGGTATGTTTTTCTTTTTAAATTACAATATTTTGAACTTTTTTGCAAGTTCATCATCCAAAACATCTCCCAGCCCCTGCTGCACAGGCGTTGGGAACGTGGTGAATTGCAATTACCAAGCAACTTGGTTTTTCTTCAGCATGAAGTACAAGCTTGTTTTCAGAAAGCCAAGGCAAGAAGAAAGGCATAAAGCGCCTCTCTTCATTCCTTAAAATCGCAGAATCGTAAAGGTTGGAAGAGTCCACTAAGATCATCTACTCCAGCTGTCAGACATCACCACCATGTCCGCTAGCCATGACCCTAAAACATCATATCCTTAAGTCATGCTAGCCAACCATGTGGTCGCATTTGATGTAGTTGGTTCTTATCATGCGTAGATTGAGACATGGGTAAAATCTGCACCCATTTGTTTAAATCTGAATCCTCTGGAAGAGACCCCACAGCCCTGGGTTTCCCCACGGCTCCCAGGCTTGTCAGCTCCTGGCAACAACAAGGAGCTCAAAGATGATCCATTGAACTTCTGGGAGGTTGCTTTTGCACCCTTGCCTCCCTGCTATGTAAGTAACGACAGCTTCCTTATGTAGAGGTCTCCCACACTTCCAAGATTATTTTGTTCCTCTGTCCCCATCATCCTGCTCATTAAGAGACTGTCATAGCTTGGTGAAAGCTGAAATACAGCAAGACGAGGGAAAAGCTGGGCCAGCCTGAGCAAAGCAGTACAAAGCAACTAGTTTTTCCTCAGTGAGCCAAATGAAGTTTTTTGCTTTTCCCTAAAAATTGGTCCCTTTGGTTGTAGCGCACAATGCAGTGACGATGAAGATGTCCCATGGACAGGGAGCAGCACAGAAGCCAGGTCCTTGATTTGTTCTGCAGGCAAGCAGAGGTCCTGCCTTCCAGCTATGTGGTGCAGATGCTAAGCAGAGCAGTCCCCTTCCCGTAAGAGATGGCCTCATCTGAGCAAGAGCAAGACACAGCTTGCAAAAACCAGAAAAAGCTTTCTTGCCTCTCTGCATGCTTCAAATGAGGTGGTGTAATTTTTTATTTTAATATAAAACACTGCCTTTCAATGAAACTTCACATGACACTCAGGCAGCTAAACTGAAAGCTGTAGGGTTACAGCTAACCTACACAGGGATTCTAAAAAGCCAGTCTTTTTGTGGTCATCGGCAAGTGATGCGGCTTCAAGCCCATTTAAGTCATACCTCATTAAAAATGCAAATTAAGAACGAAACATCCAAACACAGGCATCCCGCCAATTCTGTTGCAGAGATGTAAATTGCTAATCAAACAAGTACCACACTGAGCTTTTCTTCCCTTAAAGACAAAACCACGCACACAATGAGCTGCATAAATGAGCTCCTTGAAACAAGGAAGCAATCAGCCAACTCACTTCCAAAAGTTGCTAATCTTGGGCTGCCGGGTTACTTCTGACCCCCCATGCACAGCTGCACTGTGAACACGGACTTGCTTATTACAAGTTTATACTCTGCTGTCATTAAGCAAACAAGCTGCTTCAGGGCTCAGCACAATGCAGAGCAGATTATCCACACATCCATGGATGTGGGAAATACTCAAAACCCCATTACTGTCTCGAAGAGTCACACCAGCATGTTCAGTGCTGCGCTTGTAATGAGCTCCGTGCCATCGCTTTTCTTTACTTTTTAATTTCCTTCCTTTCCACAATGACAAGTCACTATATTCACCTAAAGCTTTTCCCAAGTAATAAAGACTACAAAGAGTTTACTCTGTTTTCTGCATGAAGAGAAATCAAATACTAAACTATCCCTGGTGTGTATTAAATATAACCAATAAACAATCATTAGCTGCCATTGGACCATAAAATTTGAAGAGCCCTAACATATCATGTTGTTCATGGGAGTTCAGTAGTTCGTTTCACATGGCCATGCAGCCTTCTTGTCTGTGTGCGGTAATGGGATATGTATGCGCAGGACGTGCCTTCCAAGGGTGTAATATATGTTCTGCTTAACACAGTCCAGCATCCACATTGCTCACGCTTCCTCCACCAAATACCCAGAGCAAACATTGAAAATAAAACAAGTTCACGGAGCCATCCAAGACGTACTGTATTGTTAGAAGCTATTTTCCAGCAACATTAACATGCAAATAATGTTGGTGGCTGGCTGATGGAATTGGAGACTGTGTACATACACCAGGCTTTCATTTTGCTTTATGACAGCTGGATTGCTTACCATGTATATCCTGCTTTATAGCATACCAAACTGTGTGGGGGGAGAGAAACTATAGAGAGATTCCTGGCACAATGAATTTGATCACCAGTGGATGAATATACCTACAAAATACATTTTACAGAATATACTGAGCCATTCAAAGTATAGCTGCTCTCCTCTGAGATTTGTAATAGGCATTGATATAAAACCCAGGATAGTATGGGAATATGGAATAGCTTCTGACTGTCAATTTGGGACGGCCTGCTACTTGAGCAAGTCTTCTCAAAGGCATGTTGCTGAAGTCCATTACTGAATTTTTAACACAAGTAATTTTTGCACACTAAAAACTGCAAATGCCATTTTTCCTCTGCATTTTGCAGCGCTGCCCACCACAGTGCTTGACATCAGATCCAGGCAGGAGATGGATGGTTTTGGTTAACACACAGGACAAGGCAAATGGTGTAGCTTTATAAAACTGTAATCCCAGTATCTTATTTTCTGTAGCAAAACTGGAGACATGGACATTTAAGACTCAGCAGCTGATTTGTTACAGCCATTAGATTGTGATGTTTGCTTTCAGTTATTTTTAAGACCTCAGATTTTCTTGAGCTGCTGAAAATAAATGGCCAGTGTAAGAAATGTCCACTTAGAAGTTAACATGAGCACTGCTGGAATTGCTTGAGGTCCCCTGACCACAGTGCTTGAAGTGGAGCTTCCTTCTTTGCACCTTTGCTTTAGTCAGACAGTCAGAATGACATGAGATGTAACACTACTGAGTAATTTGGGCAAAAGGGACCATGGCTCAGCTTGCTCACACAAACAGTCCCAACTGGTCTGAATGGGGTGGTCTTTTAATGCAATCACTGTGCTACTCCCTAGTTATATCATCAAACTAATTAGCCCTAAATCCCCAATATGGGTTGTTTGAACTGCTCTTAAACAAACAAAAACAAACAATTTAAAAAAGAACAAAGAAAAAAAGGATAGGAAAGGAAAGGAAAAGAGACAATGCCAATTCTTGGCATAATTAAGTGTAAGACTGTATATTCAGAGGGCAGCTACTCCAAAGCGTCAATACAAACATGAGGGCAGAAAATCACAAGCACCAACTGATGAAGAAAGAAACAGAGAGAGGAATAATTGCCTGCTTCTGGCTACAGAATCTGGGCACAGTGGCTGGGTTTAGAAAGGAAAATCAAATCAAGAAATCCTACATGGGGTGTCTAAGCAAATCTTTCCGAGATGTATGAAGGGTGGCACCAAATGCCAGGTGAAAAACAAATAACACTAACAGCTCCATAAGTCCTGCTTAAACAAATGCAATAAATAATGGAGGAAGGCAAGTAATATATTCCAGAGGATGTTTTACAAAACCAGGCTAAACCAAGCAACTTCTTGCAATCAAATTATGTATGCCTGGCATATAGTTCACTACAAATTCTAATCAGTTCTACCCTTCTAATAACATTACACAGAAAAATACATCATCATCCATCAACCAGATGGAGCATGATAGTTATACAAAACATATTGTATATTTTTTATTTTCCACTATGAGAATGTGATAAAATTGTGCACACTAGAATTAGAGATTATAAATAAATATTTTAGGCTCTATAAATCTCTGTAAATATTTATTTGCAAAATATTGTATATATGTTTAAACATTAAAAATGCTACTTCATGTTGTGGGGAGGGAAAGAGATTTTACTGGCACAGGCTTTTGACTGCTGAGTTGTCAACACAAAGAAAGTAAAGCTCTGTAGCTCATCTCCAGCAAATTTCAGCTTAACTTTCTGCTTGTACTACCTATGTATAGAAATATTTGGGCTAGAGAAAGGCGGCATGTTCTACGGAGGCTGTTTATTCTGCTGTGCTACAAAAAGGAAAATTTGCACATGTAATTGGAGTGGATATGTTTCAGCAATGCAAAGCTGCTCTGGTGCTTTATAGGAGCTGTGGTTAGGTGCCATGTGTTCCCATGCTACAGACAGGCCGCTGTATGCAGGTAACTGCCACTCATTTGCATGTGGTTTGTTCCTGCAGAGCATCAAGAGAGACTGTACAGATGGGAGAGATGCAAATCAATCAAACGCCAATGCAGCGCTACTGCCTCATGTCCAAAGGGATACCCTGGATTTGGGCAAATTCTTTTACTATAAGAAATCTTCAATACCCATCAGCTACAGAGCACTGTAAAACAATGTGTTTGGTGCTAGTTTTCATCTCAAACCAGCACCAGAATTGCTCTGCTGCTACAAGTCCTGCAACAGTAATGCTGCAGAAGACACGGGCAAACTGTTTCAAGGCAGCTGGGCAAGCAAACCTGTGCTTCATCATCCCAGTCACAACCTGAAGGTGCCGAACAAATAGGCTGCAAACCAGACTGGTGGAAAAAGCAGATGCAAGGAAGCATCTCAGCTGACCTGCTAGGGATCTGGACTCACAGCCTAAAGTGTTTGGGGCTCACAGTGCCCCATAGGGGCCACTGTGAAGAGATGGGTCTCGGTAAAAACACTACAGCAAAAATAAATTTGCCTTCTGCCTCAGCAGAATGTTTCAACACCTGATTTAGTGGGGGATTATATATCATTCAAGACAGGATGTGAATAGCAGAGTTGATTGGGGCACAAAGCAGGAGGTGACTGATGGAAATACATCTACTACAGGAATTCCAGAAACTGTAATTGGATCTTCTGCTACCTTTTCTTTAACCCCTAGGCCTGTTATAGTAGGTCACACTGCCAGGATAAATTGATAAAGTTCCCTGAAAATTTACTCCCCCTTGCCCTTATCTTCATGGGCTATTTCCTTTCCACAAAGTATGATGCATATAAATTCAGGTTGCTATTTTCCCACTTGTGGAAGAAGCATGATGCAAATATGCACCTCGGATGAAGCCTACCTGCTGGCACAGTAATGGATCATGAACAGTTTCACTGCATTACAGACTTGTTTCTGCAAAGACTCAGGTTTGTGTACGCCAACAAGATTTTCAGGAGAAAATTTTGCAATTGGTTTTAATGAAGTATCAACTACTGCCACACTCTGACCCAAGCTATGCTGAAATAGAACTTTAGAAATGGCACTGGCTTTTTGCTATGTGTGCCTTCAGACTGAACATTTTAAAATGATAATGGAAAGGCAGCCTGACAAGGGAAATTAAAAAAAAATAATAACATCAATAAAAATGCACTGTGCTATTGTAACAAAGCTGGCAAAGAAAATCAAAGGCTGAATTTTCGCTCTGTTTTCTATTAGATGGTGTTGTACGAACATCTAAATTGTGCTTTGATTCCAGTTTCAGCAACATTGAAAACATTTAAGAATATTCATAATGGTAAATGATGTAGCTGCTCTGATTCGCCAAGAGCATAATGCACTCTACAGTCACCATCTAGCTGAGCTTCCAAGCAAAATAATTTGATAGAACACTTAATAAAGAAGAAAAAAGCAATGTTTCATCGCGTAAATGAGAAACACCCTTTGGTTAGAGAAGAAGGGTGACCTTGTTGATACGAAGCTGAGACTTGGAAGAGCTACCTCTGCTGATGTTATAAACGATGTGATGAAACTTTCCGCAACAGACTTTTCCAGGAAAACACCTTTGCAAATCTCTGCATGGTGGGGAATTTCTGCTATATGATCATGCACTGCAATGGAAGAGAGATCTGTGCCTTTCAGCTGACAACTGCCTGCACAGCATCCTTCACCTGCTGTGTCCCAGCCTCCTCACTTCCCTCTGTCCTCCCCTCTCCCATCCTCCTCCCCAGGTCCAAGTAGAGCCAAGCCCCACTCACACTTTGTCTGTGCCATAGCTCCGGTAGTCCACTGCTGCTGACACAGCCACGATCAGTGCAGGCATGCCATAGCCAACCAAATAGAAGTACTTCCTCCGGGAGTGTTCACTCTCAAAAACTTCCACCAGCATGATGTAGAGCTGCACACCTTCCAGAAACATCCAGGTGAAAGCCGCCAGGAAGAAGAAGTGCAGGAGGGCAGCAAAGACAGCACAGGCAATCTGCAGACAGATTTAAAAAGAGCCAGAGAAGGTGTTTGTACCACACAAACTTAACGTAACACTCAAGTTTACATGCAAACATGTTCTCACAGGGAGGTTTAATAAGAATGAAGGAGTTCTTGTTTTACCATCTTCAATGTAACAACATTTTTTTCACTTTGGAAACATATATATGAACTATTTTTAAACAGACACAAGTGTACATACAAATTATATTCAAAGATACAAAAGCAGGTATGTACATACTTTGGTAAACAAACATATAAAGATGTATATAGTATAAGCAGCATAAGCACATTTGTACCACCTGCTGATCAAACATATGCACGCATACTATTTACAAACAACACCCCTACAGCCACTAAAATGAGCAGGTTTTTTCCATGGCTCCCATGATTTTCAAGTCAGACCCTCAATTTCAGTGTGACTCTCTGGCTGTTAACTGCAGGGTATGTGTGTTTGTTTTGTGTATACACAGATTTCTGTTTCTGACTGGTGTGTGTGTTGACAGACAGTTATGCAGGCATACATGCACACAAGTGTGCAGGATGGATGACTTAAGTGCTCCAGTGCACTGGGGTTTGTCCGTAGATTCACAAAGGCTGTGTTTCTACTCCCAAAGTCTCTCCAGAAACATTTTTGCCTAGGCGACTTTCCAAATGTCAGCATGCCCTATGAATATCCTTGGGTGCTGCGGACAAAAAAAAGTCTGACACGCATCAGGGGCTTTCCAACACAGCAGTTATAGGCAGGATATTATGGGAAGGGATTTGAAAAACAGGAAACACCATGAAAATGCAGAATCCATTCCAGTGCTACGAAGAAGGCTTTTTTTTTTAAAAAAAAAAACACAACAGAATACCAACATGCAATCTAGAATTAAATAAATGTGGAAAGGCATCACTCAAGGAGTAGCTTTTTCTATCCGTCTAGTGATCTCAAGGCAGCTAATAAAACCAAGTATCTTGACCTCCTTTCAGTAACCAGAATCTGACTTCGAGTTGATAACTTCACCCTGCAAGGGCTCAACATGGCTTAAAAAAGCAATGGAATATATCCCACCCCATGCTAACATCCTACATGCAGTGAGGTGAGAGCCTACATTGGAAACAAAAAGTGTTTTGCCTCTTACCGGCTGGTCAGTCCGGTTGATGCCAATGAGGAAGAGAAGTTCTGCTACAAAAAGGCTGATGCACAAGTTCTTGTGAATTGTGTTGCGGTCACTCTGTAGCCCACGGAAGAAGCAGAAGGTGAAGATGCAGATCAGGAGGCAGACAAGTGACAGCAGGATGCCCACCCAGGTGATAAAGTCCAGAAGCAGGTCATGCACCGCATCGCTGTGCTGGAGATAAAACAACAAAAAGATCATCAGACACATACTGCGTAACTTCTAATCTATCCCAGGCAAACAGTGAGGTTATCTGAGACCCTCAGACTCAGCAAGTAATGGCACAATGAACTCGTAACTAATGAAGGATATTAAGACTAAATGGACCTACACTTGAATCCAGCAGCCTGAAACTCATACTGCAAAGTATCTGGCAAATTATGAGTGCTGAGACAGACTCAGACCTCGGAATATCCTAGAAATAATGATGCTATTGCTGAAAACACTGAGACATCATAGCTAGTCTTGAGTGCAGCTCCACTTTTCACAAACATGGCAAAGAAGAGGATGTACTGTATAAAGAACCATCAAACATTGTGATTCAGGTGTAAAGATGTTTCACACACTACATTGTGGAGTTGACAACCACAAGTCTGTTAAAACCATTTAGCAGTAAAAAAGACTCTTTACTCATCCACAGACATATTTGAGCTTGAAGGTTTTGGACAGAAAGAGAACACTTAAATGTCTTGTCTTTCTTTTCAACAGGGAACAAGAAAGAACATTTTTCTTTTTTCAAGACCTGGAGCCATATTTTAAAACTCCTGGGAAGTCAAACTGAGGCCTGGAACACTCCTCAGGACAAAAAAAAAAAAAAAAAAAAAAAAAAAGACATCTCTTTTCACATGACTTTTGTTTTAAAGTCTAACAAAACAATGGTGTTAAGAAAGCTGGGCAAGTGAGCGTTTCCCTCGCTTGTAACACACTTACCACAAATCACACAAGCATAGCCATTGCAGTTAATCCAGCAGCAATGTTTTGCAAAGTGCAGCACAGGTGTGCTTTGGTTTGGCTGATAAACATCTCTGCACTGCTCCTGAACTTGCATTGCATTTGCTTAGCAGAAAAGAGGGGAGAGTTCTGAGACTGTAAAGGCTCTAATAGTGAGGACATTCCACCACCTGACCAAGGCTGTAAAACTCACCAGTAACTCCACAGGTTTCCACCAGATGTGGTGAAATTAGAGATATCACTACTTAGTAAAATGTAAATAAGAAACGAGAAATACATGGCGAGTCACAAAGTGGCTGCTCAGAACTAAGTGATTAGAGTCCAAGAGCTGGGGGAAAGACTGCCTGGAAGTCTCCAGGGCCTTTTCAAAAAGACCTGAGAGTCTTGAAATCCAGCTTTGTGGTCCACCAGGCTGTGTTATAAATGGTGTTCACATTTCCCTCCACTTCTGGCATTTTGATGACTTAGGCATTATTTAGACTGGCAAATACAATAGTGTCACACTTCAAAAAGCCAGGACAAACTGGAAACATTTTCCTCCCTGTGGGATAAAAACCTATGACAGATGGAGGAAAAAGGTGATTAATTTATCCATTTTCTTTGCCTGCCTGCCAATGATAAAGCCACATCAAATGTCAGGCCTTTCCTGATATACACTCTGCTATGTCAGCACCCGTGAGAAACAACTCAAATCTTTCAGCTCTTTGGGTTTATCAGCATGAGTGATAGGCATCAAATGATAATGAAAGATGGGGAGCGGATTTACCCTCCATCTCTTCCATGCTGGAGGTTTTCTTTCGAAAGAGACTCTCTGAAGGAGGCAGAGAGATGAAGTCTCCTTTCCCCAAATGCTCTTTCAGAACTGTTTGAGCATTTCTGATATCACAGGAGCTAGGTGTATCAAGTACAGGACTGAGGCATGAAATCCTTGTGCGCTTAGTGCTGACCACGATAGAAACGCCTGTTCCATGCAGCTCCTCTAGCATCCAGCAAACCAAGAAAGCTAAGTGCACACTGTTTTCCTGGTGGCCGCACATTTCCTCTATCTGTGTCATTTCAGTTCATCCATTCCTCTAAATTCAGTACAAAAACATGCTAATGCAAACCTTGAGCCTTTCAAATCATTGTCTTTTTCATCTGAGTCTGCAGAGAAGCAGCAGATAACGTCTCTCTGAACAGCCCTGCCAGCTCACCTAATCAGAGGCAGGTCAGCTCACCTAATCAGAGGGACCTGCCAGGCAAAAGTGACAGAAGGCTCTGGGACTGGGAGAGCAGGACAATGCTGCTAATGCATGTATATGTAAAGAGACAACAATGATGAGGGCTTTGGAAGAATGGGTGACATGAGGTCGGTGGCACAGACTTAAAAATTCCAAGGCACAGGTAGCCTAGCAAAAGGAACACTCAGGGCTTCCCATATATGAGACATAGTTCAGAGAAAGGCTGCTTTTCAGCCTCTTGTCCTCCAATTTGTACACATAACCAGGCTTGCCCCCTCCCTGCTGCAGAATCCAGCACTTGCTCTTGTTCATGTGGCCCAGCCCTCTAGTTTTTCAGGATCTCTCTGCAAGGCCTCTCTATCCTCCAGGGAGTCAGAAGTTCCTCCCGGCTAAGTGTCATCTACAAATATACCAGTATATCTTCAAGTCCAGTATCCCAGTCAATGAGGAAAACATTAAAGAGAACTGGCCCTAAACTACTCTTCTTTCTAAGAAGGGACCAACCCCTGTCACTAGCCATAGAGAGTGTGCTAGTCACAGGAATAATGTAGAAAAAGGAGGAATTGAGGTAACCGCTCCTCAATACTCTGAGATTATCCTTGCTATCACCTGTGACACTGCATGACAAATACAGCAGCAATGTTTGGTTTGCCCAATTGGCATGAGACTTTGCAGGGGTAGGTATAATAAATAGAACACTGACATTTTGTGCCTGGGTTGCAATATCTAAGCTCATTCCCTCAACCACTGAGACACATAAAATAAGCACATCTTCTCTTTACCCTGCTCCTCCCCAGTGCAGTTCAAGCACTCCCTGACCAAGGACAAAATAGCTTTGACATATACACTAATGATATCCTTGTAGAACCCTGCAAGCCCTAAGGTCCCTAAAGCATGTGAAACACATCCAAAACCATCAGAGTGCTGATAACAGTCAACTTGTTCTTCTCAATAATCTCCCGAAGATGCTGGCAACCGGAATAACCCATGGGAGATCCCAGATGTCATGACAAGTATCAATTTCCTGACAGTATCAATCAAACACCAACTTGCCCAAATGCATCATGACTGCCAAGACCTGTATATCAAGACTTTCATGGCCCCTTATGCAAGCCACTGAGTTTTGTTACAGCTAAAGCCATGCTAGCTTTACAGGTAAGTTGACACAAGGGTTATTTTTAGCATAGGAGCAATTATTAAGTGAACTACACAGTAACTTCCAGGTGGATGCATTTGGATTCCAAAACTGCACTGCAGGCTTAGAAGCAGAAAAGTTTGCACTAACATTGTAAAAATACACATGTAAAAATATTCTTTGTTAAGGAAGTTAACAACTGCAACTCAGGGAAGAATCTGATCCCAAATTCAGTGAAGGAAATGCTCCCTGGCTTTGGAATAAAGCCTTTCTTTTGCTCAAGTGGGGCCAAGAACTGGTGGAAAAGAGCGCTGATGGAAACCTGTGCAGGAGGAGCTGCAGGACCCCGATAGCCACCACAGTGGATGAACAGGCAACCAAGCCATTATCCAGGCTGTGAAATCAATGAGCAGCTCTGGCAGCGCCGGCACAGCAGAGCTGAGCTAATAAAAACAAATCCCAGGGTATGTCAGCTTATGACAGAATGGCTCTCCCCAAGATGAACAGCCATTTCCTCTCTTATTAAAAACATCAGTAGAAGAAAACAGCAGCCAAACCAGGCTGCCAGCAGCAAAGGACACATTCCTTTGCCTAATCTGTCCCTTCAGAAAAGGAAAGAGTAATATGTTTGGAGGTGGAGGAATAAGCAAGCAGTAAATAACACAGTGTCATCGACTCGCTCAGATATGACCACTCGGTGCCTGGTGGGAGCTGGCAATGCTGGGCTGGGCAGAGACCCAAGTGGGACAGATCTGAACTCCTGCGCACTGCTGCTTCTGCAGCTTCTCAGATTTGCAGCTCTCCAGAGCTGTTTAGGCTCTCTCTGCCCTCTTTTCCCATCACTGGTGTCAAGAGAGGATTACTGCTATAGCCTAGCTGTAATGCTTCATGGCAAAGCACAAAGGACTTAACTTTACAAGCAAATGGTTTGTAGATATGCCAGAAGTGTCAGCTGGGCTTCCTGGACTGGGAGGAAACCCCAAGGTCTCCTGGACTTCTTAATAACACTTCTTGCTGTGGTTATGCAGGAACGTTCCAATGGGGCTTTCCTTCCTCCGTGGCCAAGTGGGACATGTGCTGGGGAGGGGGCCCACTGCTGTAGAAACCATCCTGTCCTTCCTTTCCAAAGATGCACCAAGGGAGGCAGTCAGTCCTGTTCTGCTGGAAAACAGTAGCCCCCTAAGTGTGCATCCCCTTTGTACTCTGCAAAGGCAGCACATCTCTGCCCTGCTTTCATGGGCAGTGTCAGAACCTAATCCAGGAATAGAGCCTGATGCCCCCCCCGAAGCCTCTGTGCAATGTCACTGGCTCCTTACTACCATCCTTTAAATAAGGCTCCAAATTCTGAGCACTCATGCAAAGTGGTTTAGCTGCCAGAATAATGTGACACAGGAGCATACACAAAGGAAAATGGGTACAGATCTCATCTCACCATGTACTATAAACCATGCTGCGGATACGGTGTGTGGCAAGAGCCCAGGGTTTCCATCTCACTCCTGACAGTGCTGCAGCTTTCCTGTGACAAGTCACACTGTGTGACGCAGGTGAGGAGAAGTGGTTTGGATCTGTAATAGCAACATCCTGGCCCTCTCCTATGCTGGCTGGAGTTAGTAAAGTGGCACAGCTCTGCTTACTTATAAGGCATCTCTAATTCCAGAAACAAGCCATGGTGGTGGTGCCAAGATCACAGTGTAGATGTCTACACAGCCAAGCTGCTGGCTTATTAACTTGATTTCCCAGAAAAACCTGGTCACAGCATTGTCAGCTCCTTCTGTCACGCTGATGGCCTTACCCAGCCCAGTTCCAGGAGAGCAGGGATAGGGCTACACCATACCAAAACCTTCCCTTCAGTCCTCATACATACAGCT